ACAACAGCTTTATGGGAGGAGTTGACTTATTAGATTGTCTATTAAGCTTATATAGAATTCAAATACGAACAAAGAAATGGAGTCATAAACTTATTTAGCATTTTTTAGATATGATAATTGTCCAAGCTTAGATTATTTATTGTCGGGATATGAAAAAATCTAATGCTTTAAAGAAAGATATCTTTTAATTAAGAGTATTCAAATTAAAAGTAGCCAACGACTTGATGAAAGCCGGAAAAGTTATGGTGAAAAATAAAAGAGATTATTCATCAAAAACAGTTGAAAATCTCCTTATTGCAAAAAGAAAAAAAGGTCCTGTTGCATTAGTTCCTGAATTTTCAACTCGAACTGATAGAATTGATCACTGGCTTGTCTTTAGCAAAAAATAAGGCCGATGTAAAAACCCTGGGTGCGATGGCATCTCTAAGGTTTATTGTGATAAATGTAAAGTACATTTTACACCTAAATCTAATTGTTTTAAAGGGACTACCAAGTCCCGAGACATTTTGTGTTCATATTAAAGAGAATGTAAAAAAAAACGTCTGAGCAAATTTTTTTTGATTAAAACTAATTATTAAATGTATACCAAGAAAAACAAATCTTGTTGTTTTAGTCGAAGCTCATCTTCTCCGTTTTCTTTGGTATTTTGAGTATGTAAAATAAACGCGATTTTCCAGGCTTGATAATTTATTCAAGCGCGTTTAATTCATAGGAGTTTAAGAGCATGACGTCATTGGAAACATTCTAGAAATTCTTTTAAAATTTCACTATTAAATTTTACTCAAATAACTAACTATAGTTACTTATTTTATTAAAAGTTTATTTTATTAATTGTTCGTTAGTTTTTTACAAATCTAACGAACAATTAATTAAACCAAGCACTAAGAAAAGATATAAAAATAAGGAATATACTAATAAAATATATGATTTGTAATTAACTTTCAAAATTTTGACAATTTAAAGAATATATATTATAAAACATTTATTTTGTAAACAAATGATAATAATTTAAAAGTTTTACGGCTTTACATATGTGGCTCCGAGAATGAGCCAAAATATTAAAGTAATAGTTCATTTGATAATATATTCTTAAAGAACTTTATGCTAGATATCTCAAAACGCAACAAATCCTAAATAATACAATTCCTAAAATATTTCAACAGAATACTCTAGAACTTTATTTCGCTTAGTCAGCGTGTTTTTTGAACCAATAGAATTAGTTTGTTCGCAAATTTGGCGGGTTTTTAGTGTTCGCGAATAATCTTTTTATTCTTCTGCAAGATGCTTTAAGAACATTCAAGTTACAGGGTTATTCATTTTTATATGCGCGTCTGTTCATTTTTATATGCGCCTTTATTCATTCTTATATGCACATTTATTCATTTTTATATGCGCCTTTATTCATTCTTATATGGGGGCCTTTATTCATTTTTATATGCGCCTTTATTCATTCTTATATGGGCCTTTATTCATTTTTATATGCGCCTTTATTCATTCTTAGACGCGCATTTATTCATTTTTATATGCGCCTTTATTCATTCTTATATGCGCATTTATTCATTTTTATATGCGTTTTACAAAAGCAATTGTAAAAAAGCAATTTGAACAAAAAAATATCATTTACGCAATTTGTTTTGAAAAAACAGTTTATTTTTTCAAAACAAATTGTTCTTATTTCCAGGTAAACGAGGTTAAAAATACTTAAAACGAAGACTTTTTACATTCGACGATGGTTTATTTACAGGGTTATTCATTCTTATACGCGCGTCTATTCATTTTTATATGCGCCTTTATTCATTCTTATATGCGCGTTTATTGCGTCTTTATTCATTCTTATGTGCGCATTTATTCATTTTTATATGCGCCCTTATTCATTCTTATATGCGCATTTATTCATTTTTATATGCGTATTTATTCATTCTTATATGCGCGTTTGTATATGCGTCAACCACCCATAAACTCTCTAATATAGTTTAATATAAACGATAAATACGCTTTTAAACTTTTATATAGATATATTTAAAATATAAATTAGGTTGTTTTCATTGTTATTTATTTAAGAAATGGTTGCCGAGCCAGCGCTGGATTTATATAACTACGCATATGGTTGTAAAATGGAACTATATTAAACTCTGTAGTATCCATAAAATTTTTAAGTTTCCTGATTACCTCATCTGTATTTCGAGGCCTTTCTCCCTGTTTGTAAGTATGTTTTAAAGAAGAAAAAAAATCTTCTATTGGATTAAGCTGTGGCGTGTAAGCTGGCAGATACTTAATAGCTATACCATGAGAGGCTAGTGTTTGCCTAACAGAAAGACTCCAGTGGAATTTACAATTGTCCATAACAAGCACCGACGCTTAGTTAAACAGAGGATAATTCGACCACATGACTGCATTCAAGTCGTTTTCTGATAAAAAACGAGGTAAACGACCTATAAACTCTCAAATAAAAAATATTATCGAATTATACGTACAAGATATAATTCTATAATATTTTTAT